GGGATCAAATCCCTGATAGGTCAACCTGGTCAAAGTGGTCAGCCCTAAACTCATGTATGTATGAACGACACTAAGGGGACTCATTGGCTTGTATTTATTAATGTGTGTGTGCATGTGTATGTATATATATATAACCGTAATAATTATGGAGTAGGAGTTCATAACATTGACAGAAAGTTGGAGGAACATGGAGAGGAGTGGGAAGGAGGATAGGAAAGAGAAATGATGTAAATACAGTACTTGTGAAATTCTCAAAACGTTTATAAATAAATACATAAGGAAAACTGTAACAAAAGAGGATATGGCTTCTGAGAGGGCAACCATGCTCCCATGAATAGCTTCATACCCAGATGTGTATGGACAGCTCAGATTTGATTTGATGGGTTATTAGTTATTAAAATGAAGAAAAGAACATGAAGGTGAAGGTCATGGGAAGGTGGGAGTGGATCTTGGAGAAGTTGGGGGTAAATATGATCAAAATACAGTGTATAAAATTTTCAAAGAGTTAACACAAACATCTTTCAAAAGAGAGGTTGGAGTGAAAGTAACCTGATGTGTATATATGAAATTGTCAAAGAACAAATTTAATCACAAAGTATTAATACTTCTTATTAGTAATTATTTATTATTGCGCGCATGCGTGTGTGTGATGTATGGGTTTAAGTGTGGATGCGGACGTGCCAGAGGAGAAATTTGGGGAGTTAGTACTTGCTTTTCATTATGGGTTCTGGGAATTGAACTTGGGGTTGAGGCTTACACTGTGGGTGCTTTTACCTGCGGAGGCATCTTGCTGGCCCTGAAATACATTTATAGGCTAGAATAGGCTGTGGTGATAAGGTACTAGAGTATGTAATTCCCATACTCAGACATAGTGTTCTTTAAATCAATTGAGCATCCCAACCAATAATTATTTTCTAATTGTTGGAGGAAATGAAGTCATTACTACTAAATGGAACTTTATAGAATTATAATTGAATTTGCTTATTTAGACATTCAGTCTGGTTAAACTGTCATGTGCTAACTCTTATTAGATATGTTATTTACTGACTCAGAACACTTTTTGAGTACAGGGAGCTATCATATCTTTATGACTCTTTCCTCTCAACATCATTAGAAAACAATCCCCAGTGGAACAAGCAAGCCTGGAGCATGATCACATGATTGTGAATATTGATACACACACAATTTCCTCCATATATCCATAGAGGACAAGCGTAGCTTAGATGTCTTTCAAAAGGTCAAATTAGAGTGCTGAGGATGTCAGAGTAGTTTAGTGAAGACAATCATTTTAACAAAGGCTAACATACGTGGACTTCTAATTTTGTGGGTTCCCTATCCATAGATTCAGCCAACCACAGGTTAAAAATATTTGAAAGAAATACATCTGTATGGAACATAAACAGACATTTATCTCGAATAATGTATAAGCAATGCAGCATGAAACTATGTTAATACTGTTTACAATGTGCAAGGGACAGGAAGTGGCCCGGAGATAGCTTAGAGTATATGCATATTTTATATTCAAACACTGTACTGTTTTTAGATAAGGGACTTAAGTTTATAAAGATTTGGGTACCACAGAGTTCCTGGGCCCACTCCTCTGGAACCACTTACCAGGGTGGTATATTTTAGGCTATATTTTAGCCTGTTATTTGAACTCATCAAAAATATTCCACACAAAACTTTGCTGTTTTTAAATTAAAATGGTCAGAAACATCACAGTGTCTAAGTAGGTAGTATTTAGAAATATCTATGTAAATACATAACATAAATATGTTTATATATTTAGGAATGTTTATCTTTTATCTATCGATCATCTACCTACCTATCTATCTATGTAGCATCGTCTGTCTCCTTCCCCTCTATATACACACACAAACACACATACACATATATATGTATGGAAACAATTAAAGATTTAGAGGCCATGTATTTGAGAAAGAGCAGTGGGAGATACTTGAGAAGGGCTGGGAAGAAGAACAGGAAGGAAAAATGACGTAATTAAAAAAATAAAATTCTAGATGATGTTAAAAGCTTATAGCATGGTTGGAATAGGGTTGATGGCTTAAAATGATAAATCAACATTCCTGATCCACTTGGCAGTAAATATTTGTTAATGATAACTGACTAGACCTGCAGTTTTAAACCAAGAAGCAGATGGGATTTAGATTTTGAATATGCACTGTCACAGCAGGTGAGGCATCTTTCCCAACTGCCTTCCTGGGGGAGTTCGGACTGTTAGAGTTACACTTGAGAGAAGCCTGGTTACTGTGTCTATGGATAAGATAAAGTGATGTTTATCCTCTGTCGATCAATACTGTCTTGTTTGAACTTACTGAGTCATGTACAGACACATGTGGTAATGAAAGCCATTGGGAAATAGCACCCAAAGTATTATCCATCATCCTAAGGGGTGCCAGTGTTTTCAGATAGTTACTGAAATGGGTTTTAAACCAGCTGTCTGTGGAATAAAGTTAACATACACAGTGTCAGAGCCTGAAACTATGGGCATCATAAAACATGTTGAGTTTTAGTAGTAGCTTTGAAAAATAGTCTCTAAAGTAAAAGTTATCCTGTTTGTAGTTATATTATATATATACAAATACACATAAAGTGTGTGTGATTCAGGTTCTGAAGAAGTGTAATGGCTTTTCTAAATATTGGTTTATTTATATACTTTTCTATTTCAATGGAACTGTTTTGCTTTGAGAAAGCTAGTGGATAGTAAGTTTGGACAGTTTAATTTTTTTTTTTTTAGAAAGATTGTTATAAATGGGAAAATGGTGGGGGAGCAACTGGCTCTTAAGCACCAGTGCTCTGCTTAACAATCTTTATACCGGTCTGCAGGTAGATCACATACCCATTTCATAGCTGAGGAGCCTGAGCTGTTGAGATGTTAAATAATGACACAGCTTCATAAGCCAGGGAGGCTGGGACTCGGTGTTGTAGCCTGATTGCTCTGTAGAACAGTCTGGCATTCTTGCCGTGATTAATTTTGAAGCCTCTAATCTGGGCATGGCTTTATTTGGTGAAAGATGATGGAAGTAAGTGAGTTCTTGGAAGGTTTGGCTGAGATCTGTCTGAACACGATGCTTTCAGTTGATCTGGTCATCACGAACACTAGACAAGAGCTATAAAAGTGATTTACTTTTAGCCTGTAGCCTAAGGAGTATAAATTTGGACAGATGTTGATAGAGAAATGCTCCTGGAAGAAGTTCTCTTATAAAGTAAAGTTACGAAACTGCATTACCTGTTCTTTTGGCTAATCACAATGACGAACATCCATGTACACGCGGGACCGAGTACAATGCACACATGTGCTTTGCAATCAGACCACCTGGCTGAGTGTCCTGGCTACAGCACTTGCTTTTGACATTGAGCCTGTTAAGTAATTCGTCTGTGCCTCGATGCAATAACAGTATGATATATTGTAATACAAGATAATGATAGTATTGGCCCCATATAGGTGTTATGAGAATAACATGAAATTAAATCTAGAGTGTGCTCAGAAATGCACTTGATGAGCTAGTACTGAGCAATTCCTGTTATACTAAAGAGCACCCAAATGATAAGAAGACCGGCTTTCAGTTGCCTAACTTCACTGCCTAACTTCACTTACTCAGCTCTCTCGATTGACTGTGGAGGTGCATGTTTGTGACCCTCTATGTTTCCTAAGTGCAAAGCAGATACGGTTGAAACATCAAAGATTAACTTTGTCTAGTCAAAAACAGCTACTCATGGTTTTGTATCCATTATTTCATTCTATGAATGTCACCTAAAACAACTGATTTCTAGCCAACTGTTATTTTTCTCTTTCCCTTAAGTTTAACACAGAGTAAATTGGAATAGCAGGATGTACACATTTCATAAGCTGAGAAATACTAATATTATTCCAGAAAATATGGCCTTAAAAAATAAGAAAGTGTCAACTGCTGTGTAAGAGCAGGAGAATTCCTAATTGTTTGCCCAAGTGAGCAATCTCACTTTTATTTCCAGGTTCCTTTTCCTCAGGGCGTGCTGCATGGCACTTCAGAATTTCAAGCTGGAGCAACTCATCTCGATTTTCCTAATTACAGATAGAGTGAAAACTTACTAAGATTTGGCTTGTAAAACATGAATCTCCTAGGATGCACAAACGATTTCTCAGGTCTCATCTCCTTGGAGACTCACACCTGTAACTTGCACTAGTAGAGAAACGTGCTTAATGGGGCCGCAGATATAGGGAAAAAAAATGCCCTGATCAGTTTCCCCCCTTTAGACCTTTAGAACCATCACATTTTGGGTTTTAGCTATCTTTTAGGGGTGAGAAAAATGGTAATGTGAAAATATGTGCGCTGTGCTGTGTTTGCTCAGTTTGTGAAAGCAATTTAATAAATAGACACCTCAAGGTTGGGATTTAACAGTCACTTTTAACAGTCAGAAACAGTCACTTTTCCAAAATGTTTTCTTTTCTTACTTGAAATAAAAGCAAATAGTTTAGGGCATCATTTTGGTTAGCAGGCTAATGGCGGGAAAAAATAGCAAGAATGCACCCTGACTCTATTTTTCTTTTTTTAAGGTGGTAACACACAGAAATTAAGTGAAGAAGTGGAGTCTCGAGTATGATAGGAATTAGGACTGACGCACAGAACTAAAAAAGCTGCTGGAGATGTTACACTGTGTCTTTTGTTAATTACAGTGAAATACAGCTCTCCCTGATATCCGGCTGGAGGTTGGGTTTGCAGCCCCGCTTGTGAGACCATAGTGATGGCTCCACTTTCCACAGGCTTTGGAAATGTACCCAGTCAAGGGGTAAATCATGGCATTCATCTCGTCTTGTGATCACAGGATCATTCCAACACACTGTTTTGTTTTTCAGTTGGTCTCGTTACGTTAAAAAAAGCAAACGACAATTCTCTGATTAGGCTAAGGATAGTAAAGAGTACAGGTTGTTTTCTTGCATTTTAGCAGATACAGAAGCACAGAATTGAGGCAGAAAATACAAAAATCATGGGCCATACCTGAGTAATTTCTGAGGTCCCCCACCCGGAAAAGGTTCCTTGATTATGGCGAATTCAGCATGCCTCTTTGGTTATATTCTAATCATCGTATCAAACTCCAAAGGTTCAGCGGCTTTAGGTTTGGTTTACAATTCCCAGGAGTTAAACTTTAACTCACCCTGTCTCTTGCATCCATGCAGCCCTTTGACCAGGTAAGTGGGTCACTATGGCTTGAACAGAAGCTATGAAACTGCCTGCCTTGTTTACAAAATGAAAATGTATTTCTCATTACAACCATTGGGGACAATGCTATTTTGAACCTAGTTTATGGACATAAATCTAAATGCTGAATTCCTTCCATCTTAGGTGACCAAGCTTTTCTTTATGTTGTCATCTTATTTATTTGCTATGTCAAAGTAATGCAATGGGCGATGTGATTTAGGAGAATATTTCATTGTGCCACACTCTTTCTATTACTGTTTTACATGGCTTTAAGTGTGGAGTTTTAGGTCAAGCATGCAGATGAATGCTGGTTTTTAAACAGAAAATACAAAAGACGCTTATATAACCAAGTAGCTGAACTCAGGCCAGATCAGACTGGGGAAACATCTCACTTGGTAGAAGCTGCTTGTTCAGATTTGAAGAGGGAGCTCGCTCTTTATGTAAGAGCCCTGCAGTTGTTTGTTGCTTGAAATCTCAGTAATAACTGTGCTTTTTAAAGTATACATAACTTGTATTTTTTTTTAAATGTAAACTCTAGAGTTAAATTATCTAGCATGAGTACCAATCTATATAATAATCCTTAAAGGATTTATTTATTACAATTTATTTACTTTACATCCCGATTGTAGCCTTCCCTCATCTCCTCCTGGTCCCCCCCTCTTTTCCCCCTATCCCTTTCCCCTAGTGATAGGGGAAGTCCTCCTCCCTTACTATCTGACCCTAGTCTGTCAGGTCACCCCACCAGGGAGAAATGGTCAAAGAGCAGGCAACCCAGTTCATGTCACAGACAGCCCCTGCTCCCCTTACTAGGAGACCCAAATGGAGACTGAGCTGCCTATGGGCTACATCTGAGCAGGGGGCATAGGTACTCTCCATGCACGGTCCATGGTTGATATATCAGTCTCTGCTGACCCCCTTGGAAATGGTCAGATAAATGGATGGAACTAGAAAAGATCATCCTGAGTGAGGCAACAACCCAGAACCAGAAAGATACTCATTGTATATATTCACTTATAAGTGGATATTCACCATATAATAGAGGATACACATACTAAAATCTACAGACTTAAAGATGCTAACTAACAAGGAAGACCCCAGGGAGGATGCTTAATTCTCATTCAGAAGGCAAACAGGATAGACACTGGAAGAGAGGGAACAGGACTGGAGCCTACCATAGATGTCCTCTGAAAGACTCCACCCAGCAGGGGATTGAAGCAGAGATCAACAGCCAAACTTTGGGCAGAGAGCAGGGAGTCTTGTGCAAGAAGGGGGAGGGGGTGGGAGGACTCGGAAGAGACAGTATCTCCACAAGGAGATCAACAAAGCCAAAAGGATTAGAAAATAAATCTATTTAACAAGTCAAAAAGAATCAAAACTTCCTACTTTTGAGTAAATTTTGGTTTAAGGGTTGTAAGACACAGGCTGTGAAACTGGAATTAAAGAATGTTTTCCTTTGGCTTCAGGTCAAGTAAGAGGAGTCTAATTTCCCAGGAACCACTTAGGACATTTTTATCTATAGAAAAACACAAAACAAGCAAGGGATGACACCACTGAAGCTGTGATTAGACAAGAGAGGAGATTCAAGATCTAGTTTAGTGTTCACTTTGCTTTTATTCTAACATGAAGCATTGATTGATTTATATTTTTTTTTCCACTCAGTCCATGCCTGCTCTAACAAAAACACCTCTGGAATTATTGATTTGCCCTGGAATTGTGCTCAAGGAGTGACAGCTAGAGATAGCAGTCACTGTTTCTTATGTGTAGACATTCACAACTATGGGTACTGACTTATTTTCTTCTAAGGAATGGATCCATTCGCCAAGAACCTATTGGTTTTCCCAGGAGAAGCTCAATCTAGGCTTGTCTGGCTCCCCAATGAGTAAGCAATTCTTACTTTGAGTCTGATCCAGTAAAGAACTGTTAATCTTGCAAGACTGAAGGTTCTGTCAGCAGGGGGTTCCTGATGGTGTGGTAGGTGGCTGGGCTGTGGTAAGTGAGTATTTAAAAACCTTAAAAAAGGAAAGCAGAGCTTAGATAGTTGGTGGAGACAGGAAAACATAACAGGGAGGGACAGAGGAAGAGAGAGACAGAGAAAGAGATAGAGGGAATGGGCTGGAGACAGTGACAAGGGTGGAGGGAAAGAGACAGAAAGAGGGAGGAGAGAGAGACCTAGGATTATTTCTTAACAACCCCCTTTTTAGTTGAAAGTATCCCGAGTTTAGAATGCACTTTCTGTGGAAATTTAGAAGCATTGGGCCGCTTCAACAACTCTCACTTTCTCAGGGGTCTAGAGGCTGGAACTCCAAACTCAGGTGCCAATGGGATCTTTTTTTTTTTCTGGTTATGTCTGTGCATGACTTTTCTTGAAATGTGGCCATGGAGAGGGAGATTTTTTTAAAAAAATATTTTCAAATTAACTTTTGTGTGTGTGTGTGTGTGTGTGTGTGTGTGTGTGTGTGAGAAATATGCATGTCACAGTTTAAACATGGAGGTCAGAGGACAACTTACTGGCATTGATTCTCTTTGTACCATGTGGTCATGGGAATTGAACACAGGTAATCAGGTGTGTTGGCAGGTGCCTTGTTACCAGCTGATCATCTTGCTGGTCACAGGCCTTTTTCTAATAAGGGCTTTCATATTATCCAGACCTGCTCTAATCTAGTTACCTTCAAAACAACCTATTTCCAAATGCTACTGTACGGATGGTTAGCTTTTTAACATAAATTTTTTAGAGAGAAAGCAAACATTCCATTTACAACAGTTTCACATAAAAAGCCCATTGTCCTAGATAAATCCCAGCATTTCACAGGGCAGGATATGTTCATGTCAAACCATAATCCACACATTACTCATGAGGGCCAGTGACAACAGTGAGTTTGACAGCATTGTTAGGTTATTAATCTTTATTTGCTGAACCATTCTATTATAAGGGTAGGAATTTACTGAGGAGAAGCAGAGTGGAAAAAGAGCCAAGCAGCATCTTTTGTGAGGGCTGCTCACTCATGATGGATCTGTGGTCCTGGGACAAAGAGTCCACTGGATCAGCATGGTATCAACCCAAGACCCTGAGTCCATCAGTCTAACAATGGAGATTCACTATCCTCACAAGAGCAACACTTGCCTTTATTTTGTCAGAGGAGGTCCAGTTTAAAGAGTGCCTGGAAAAATACCAATTTCCTACTAGTTTATCCTACAAATTACTGGAGACCTATTTTTTTTCCCCCCTCAGGAGCTTTCATGATATGGTCACTGCTTAAAGTGAAAGGTGGTGGGTCGGGGAGCTGGCAAACATAAGGACCTGGGCTTGGATCCCCAGAGCCTTTGTGGAAATCTGGGCACATGACTGTAACTCCAGTGGTTGGGAAGAGGAGAAAGTTTTCTGTTCAATCACTCTAGTCAATCAGTGAGCTCTGTGTTCAGTGAGAGATCTTGTCTACCAATAAGGTAGACATGATAGAGAAAGACACTTTGATGCGGACCTTTGGCTTTCACTCATGGTTGCACACATATGCATGCATACCTAAACACATACGTGCATACATGTGCTTGCATGTGTATTAATGATTAATATTATTACTCACATTCATTCTTAGGATTATTAATGCAGCAGTTATTCCTTAGCCCACTATTATAAAAATAAAAGTACACAGACACCGGTTAGATTTTTAATAACCTTACACCACTGGAACTGGGCAGATATGAAGCCTCTAAGCTACATCCCAAGTCAATCGCTCTAATCATTCTATCATTCCTATCTGGGATATTCCCCATCCAAAATTCCCATAAATACTTGCCCATGTTTACACACGCGCGCGCGCACACACACACACACACACACACACACACACACACACACACAGAGAGAGAGAGAGAGAGAGAGAGAGAGAGAGAGACAGAGACAGAGAGAGAGAGACGACAGAGAGATGACGGAGAAAGTCAGAGATAAGACAGACAGACACAGAGAGAGGCAGCGCGAGTCTATCAGTATTGTACCAAACATTCTAACAAACAGGAAGGGTAAGAATGTCTACAAGAACTTTCTCTTTTATCTTAGGCTAGGTTTTAGGGGTTTCATGGCTAACAGAGCAGGCACAGAAAGTGAATACCCTGTTGGTATAATGTTCTTTTGGAATGTATACAATTTACCCTTATTCATTCAAATGCTGATTTCCCTACCCCAGTATCTGGTTTCAACCCAGACATTGCATTGTGGTGCTTATTCTAAGCATCACCTGTCTCAACTTTGTATAAACATGCCACCATTTGTTCTCTATATTGTCAATTAAACAACCAGCCCCACTGCTGAGCAATGGAGAGGATAGGGTGGGACATCCTGGTCCGGAGGGGAGAGAGAGGAAGCAGGAGGCAGAAGTGGAGAATCTACAGGAGTGGACTTGGAACCACAGGGAGGGATGAATTGGACCTAAGACATGACAAAAAGCAAGTATAATGGGTGAAATCTGAATGGCAGGAAACTAAGCGGGCTTGGAGGTTTAGGATGGAGTAACTATTGCCCAGTATTGTGCTCTAGGTTAATTAAATAAATTCCAGTGTCTGTGTGATGATTTGGGTATACAGCTGGTTTAGGAATAACTGCTGCTTAACTGAAAGGTAAATTAATAGTAAATATTGATAACCCACACCAGTACTCCAATGGTAAACTCATTACATCTGTAACATGTTATAAAGGAGAAGCACAGAATGATGAACAGAACTTAAAACTTAAGCACAGAATGCAGGGTGGTGATGGCCAACTAAGGTAACTCAGGGCAACTCTCTAGAATACAAGGATCCGGCAGATATATGGATGGGGGGTGGCTTTCTCATTTGCAGAAACAGCAGAGGTAATCTGAGGTGGAATTATCTGAACACATTGGAATG